ACATGGTGGGTAATTAGCTTCCATGGGAGTTCCTTAAAAAAAAAACAAAGAAAAGATTCCTTCCCAGCAACTATTTTGTCCTTTTAATTCAATTCACTTCAATTGGTAGAAAAATTACAGAAGGGAAAATCAACACTTTAAAGGCTAAAATGAAAACAGAGACATACACTAGAAATGTCTTCCTTCAGTTCTGAAGCAAGGTTTTTTGCCTATCTTAACGCCAAGTCCTGTGTTAATCAAAATGTGGCACTACACAAATTTTCTTCAAGTATCCCATTGGACTATCCTGGGTTCAGATTTTATCTGCTTACTACAATTCCCTGGCCTACTTTAAAGACAGATATGGCTAATCTGACTTGGGTTCCAAGAGTCCATCAGCTCTGCTCAGTGAGAATGATCTCCTTACAGGAATATTATATGGATAACCAAATCCCTTCTTAACTCAAATTTATGGGGCAAACTCAATATTGGCAGGAGTAGGGATTGAACTTGAAGGGATTAAAGTAGAAGGATTCTGATTTATTCATAGGGTATAATAGGAAAGACACAACTTAAAGACTATGAACTAAGGAAGGAAATTATGATGCAAATTACAGGCCAAATAGCATCAATTTACTAAATCTCAAGTCAAACCATACAAAAATATTAACTGAACCATAAATTGGACTCTCTCTCTCTCTCTCTCTCTCTCTCTCTCTCTATATATATATATATATATATATATATATATATATATATAGTCTCCTAGCAAACTTGTTCAAACCAGAATCAAACCTATATATTTTCTAATGAACTAGAACATGAAAACATTCCTTTATCTGAACTTGAACTGAGCTAATATTTCATTTGGTTTGAATTCCTGCTAAAGAGAAACATTTTGGGATTTCTTTTGCCTTTGAAGGAAGTTAGTTAAAATTCCATGGAAATGGCCTATCTCCTACAATCTTTAGTTTTTTAGTTGGAATGAAGGTATGTGAATCTATCCATGAATTCCAGATCCAAGATAGACCAATACAAGAAGGGAAACACGGTGGTACTACCTACTATGTCCTAGAAAAGAACAAAGACTTTCAGTTCCACCCAACACCACTTACTCTTTGGTTAAATGTATATTAACCTTCATATGTCCCTTGCTAACAGCTCAGAAAACTCTTAACATTTTATGAAATGATTGTTTCTTCTTAAATCTAAAATAATATCTTTTAGAAAAAAAGTTATGCAAACTGAAAACTATAGATTGTCTATACCTCATTATTTTCTTTATCTGATTCTGAACCCATGAGAGCTATTTTATAATGCTATAAATTATAAATATAAATAACTCCAGCTCCATTCATTTACCTTCAAAGTGTCAAAATGCATTCTGCTGTCATGTATAACTAATAAGAACAAATAAAATAAATTAATAAGTAAATAAAACTAATAATATTAATAATGGAAAACTATTCTCATCTTTAAACATGCAAATCCTGTCTTATTCCAAATAAGGAATAAGACAATAAGTCCACCAAGTCTCAGAGAAGAAAAGAAATTTGCCCGAGATCACAAAAGTAGGAAGTGATGTGGCTGGGCCTCCTTAGATGTCTCCCTCTCCTCTTCCATATCCTAACTACCACCATCCCCCACTTGACCTCCCCACTTGGAATGGTCCTATGATACTGTTTTGTCTGAGATCAACTTTGCCCCTCTGGGTAGATACGTTGGATTTGGCTCTAAACAAACTGCTATGGAATGAGCATAATAATTTTACATGGATTTTCTTACCCTTTGGGGGGTGTAATCATGCAGAGGTTCTAGACATATCAAAAAAGGTGAGCTCAAATATTCTGGAAACTGTCATGAAAGTAGTTCTATACTAGGGTTTGGCTTCATTTATGTCCATGAACTATCTGTAATGAGGATTCCAATTCTCTCTACCAAAAACACCACTTTACTTTGGTGGTAGGAAATAGAAGTTGTTTGTAAATCTGATACCTGCCACACACATTTATTATTCTATTTGCCTGGTGAGAATAAATTCTCATTTCTTTTCTTTAGCAAGGGAGTTCTGAAGGAGCAATAGCATATCTTGGCTGCCTGGGCCTGGACTGGAATCTACTACAACTCTTCAATTTGACAAATATTTATTGAGTCCTAATATATTCCTGTTCTGTCTCTGTCAGTGAGAGGCATATTTTGTAAAGGGGAAGTTCTGTAGCATGCTGGAGATCAATGATTTCACATTTAAACAGTTTAATTCCAGGTGGTTGTATTCATGTGTACTGGGTAACCAATTATATGTAGTCTACAAAGAGAATCTTTTTAAATTCAAGCTTATGCACCCTGAATATTTCTAACTAATAGGTTATATGGCAGTTTAAAAAACAGGTTCACAAATCCTGCAATAGCTCCCTCAAAAGGGTGGATGCTAATTCTTTTCCCCTTAAACACAGACTGAACTTGGTGACTGCTTCTAATTATTAGAATAAAGTAGAAGTGACAGTGTTGGCTTTGGAGACTAGATAATAAAAGGCACTACATCTTCTTTGTTCATTCTTTTGAATCTTTCACTTGAGTGGGAGATCCTGCCAAAAGCCATTTTGGAAGTGAATCCTACAGCCCAGTGGAGCCTTCAGATGATCACAGCCCCTCCCAATAGCCTAACCACAACAATATGAGAGACCCTGAGCCAGAACCACCCAGCTAAGCCACTACAGAATTTCTAACCCACAGAAATTGTGAGATAATAAAAGCTTATTTTAAGCCACTAAGTCTTGGGATAATTTGTTTCACAGCAAGATATAAGTACAGTTAGAAATCCTTAAAAATAGCTAGTGCTATTTCTGAAAAATGATTAGGTAAGCAATTATTGCTAGATTTTATAAATCTTGACCAAATGTTTTAAAGTTCTTTTAAAATTTTTTTTTAAGTCTCTGCTTAGAAATTGTTCAAATGATTTTATTCCCCATCCAAGTGTTAAAACCGGAGGCTTAATAGTTTCAGCAATATGAATGTGCTTAGATAAATTCATGTGCCCTTTTGTACACTTGAACAAGATGTCATCAAGACACACCTATTTTTATTCCTTCAGGAAAACTTACCTAAATTCTTTTTTAAAATATTTTTTAGCTATACATGGACACAATGTCTTTATTTTGTTTATATATTTTTATGTGGTACTGAGGATTGAACCCATGGTCTCACACATGTGAGGCAAGTGGTGTACTGCTGAGCCACAACCCCAGCCCAAAATTACCTAAAGTCTTACTATACTGGGTGAAATAGGTCATTTTGTGCATATATTCACTCAATGACATTACTTGAGCATTTACTAGGAAGCACACACTTTGTTTCGCACTGAGGAGACAAAAACGAATGTGACACCTTGCTCTTGAGGGCTTCAATAGTTAGGGAAGTAGACAAACACATACTTTACAACACAGGCTGCTGAATATTACCCCAGATATATAGACGGCATGCAATGATATTGCATGACAATGGAAAATGATTTCTATGTGAGATCATGAAGGATGAATAGGAATTTTTAAGTGAAGAGTGCTGAGTTGGAAAGATGGTATTCCAGGTGTACGGGAACAGTGTGCAAAGACATTGAGGTATGAAAAGCCTGGGCTGACCTTTTATACTTTAGTTTCTGTTGCTTGAGAACCAAGAGATGGCTGGTCATGTACATACTCGTAGCAGTGTGGTGTAGGCAGGACAGGCTATTTTTCTAGGAAAAGGTATTTCCAAGCCAAGAGGCTACTCAAGCTGCCCCAAATTAAAGGGCCCTGTGTAGCTAGGTGCAGTGGCGCATGCGTGTAATCCCAGTGGCTTGGGAGGCTGAGGCAGGAAGATCACAAGCTCAAAGCCAGCCTCAAGAACTTAGTGAGGCACTATCTCTAAATTTATATATCTGGGATGTGGCCCAGTGGTTAAGTGCCTCTGGGTTCAATGCTGGGTACCAAATAAATATATAAACAAAGGGCCCTTGTGGTTCCCTTAGTCTCTCAGGATTGAAGGATTCTCATGATGAGTCCTGTCGGAGCCTTGGGTAGACAAATGTGTAAATCTTAGTGTGAAGAAATCAAATTGGGTGCAAGTCTACTATCTTCTCAACTTGGACTTCTGTAGCTTTTTAGTTTTAATAGCATCTGTTATAAATGAATGGAAGACATTTCCTTTTAGATCAGTGCCACTCTAAGACAAGTTTAAGAGTTTCTGCCAGAATGTAAATCAGCACACTGCTGCCTTTCTCAATGAAATAATGCTCTGGAGAAAAAAAGTCAGCTGATCTAAATGGTTTGCTTAGTGGCATAGTTAATTTACATTTGGCACAAGCACCTAATCTCATCACAGACTGACTGATAACAAACAGCTCACTAGTTGGCAATGATCCATACACCACAATTTTCAGATTACTCACAATCCACTAAATAAAATGCTTTATGACAATTCTCTTTGCATGTTTTCAGAACCCTGTGTTGTCTTTTCCTATTGTGAGAGTAGTGCAATCTCATCTTCCTTTTTTTTTAAAAAAATATAAATATGTATAGTGTACTGGTCTCTCTTTTTATTTTATGATATCTAATTAGTTCAGAGTCAAGTTTGAAGTGCAAGTGCATCAGCTATGTTGATACTTTTGGGTGTCGATTTTTAGGCTTTTGTCCTTGATTCTGATTTTTAATTCCAGATTTATGGATTTATGTTTGCCTTGATTATTTCATTGAATATGTTTTGGCTGGATGATATTGAAGATGATCACAATAATGATAACCATGACAATAAGCATTATAGCAAGAATGGCAAGAAGGCCAGATTTCTGGTCTGTGTCCATTATGAGTGGAATGAGGGTTTGTGACTGTGCCTCCATGACTCCAACCAAGTTTGAGAGTGTTTTTCCTTAAAAAATTGATAATCATGGACACACAGTGATGATCATGAGGAATTCATTTCTCTGCATGCAGAAGGTATTGGCCTCCATAAATGAAGTCAGCGTGCACAGTTAAGAAAAGAGCACTCACCGTCTTGGTCGTTACCTGAATCAGCTGGAGACTTACTTCGGCGCATAGGGCCAGGGCTCTTGGCTGAACTCTTCTGAGGTGTTGGAGATGCCTTTGGGCCAGCTGTGGCTGACGGATTTCCCTTCATGACTCGGCATTCTGGGCAAAAGGACACAGAGAGCTTAGCAGAGGGTAAAACTCAGGCTCAGCATATTATACCAGCCTTTGGAAAATGGAATAAACAGCACAGGCCAAAGCACTTAAATGGTTCAGGACTACAAGGCAGTCTTCATTGTTTGTAGGAATTATGGCCCCGAAGAGAGATGCATGAGGAAAACTTCCAAAAGTCACCTGGGCTAAACAAGGTGTTTAAATTTCTAGATTGTGGAACAAGGACAGGAGTTTAGAAGCAGGTCAAGTAAGTAATAAGTCAAGTCAGTCATTTGAGGATGACTTAGCCATGTCTCAGAATAGTACTTTTGGATATAATGTTTAATTAATTTCCTAGGAGTAGAGGTTGACATCTCAGAGGTTATAGTTACACAGATGAAACATCCATGAGTAATTTATAGGCAGGATAAGCAGTAAGAGTTATTGTCTATTACATACCACACATTGTAATGGCACATTACGAATGTTATGTCATTTTACATGAATGAGTATCACCACCACCATCTTACATTTATAGAGCTCTTTTTGATTTTCAATGCAAGTTATCATAATCCCTTTATGATGGTTGTTTAATGAATAAATGAGTCATCAATGACTGCCCCTTGTAACTTCAGAATGCTCATAGGAGTATAGTACAGTCTGCCAAATATTCCTGCATTTACCTCAGCCCCAATCTGACATATTTGTAGCACTCTTTCTAGGCAGGTCACTTACTTTCCTCTGTTATGGTAAACTTGGGCACTGATAGTGCTGATTTACTAGGAGGATCATTCTATTCATTTTGCTGAGGAAGGTAGAAAGTACTTAAGCCTTATGAAAAGTGGAATAATACAGATGGGTAGAGGATAGTGTTTTCTTTTAGACACCTCCTTTTGCCTGCTATTTAAAGGTGCACTGAAATGTAAATTAACCATAAAGATTTTGGGAGCTATTCTGGTAAATCAAGCTTATTAGGAAACTGAACTGAGTGGAAAGCTCATTTTTGTTTGGTTGATGAACTTTAGTAATCACTGCCCAGAGTTAGAGATGTAGAAAGGCATAGGAAACTGCACATAACCTGTATTTGTTTAGCTATTTGATGATCATTTGCCTCTTCTCAAAGGAATAACAGCAGAAATACTATTTTTTTAGGGTTCTTGTCACTTGAGTTGTTTGTAAAGTTTATATTAGTAAAACTGCCTTTGCTTTTTTAATACTTTACTCCTCTTAAAAGGAAAACATGTTTTGAATGTGTCTTTCCATCAAGATCATATCCTAACCCTGTTGTTGAGTGAGCTAAGTCACCTTTATCTTACACCTGGAGCTTAACCAAAGGAGATACGTGTTCAGCTCCTTCCTGAGATGAATCTTCTGGAATCCTGAATCACAAAGTAAGGTGAACATTACAGCAAACTCAAAGGTGGGGAAAGGGTCTGAGACTAAGAATATCATGGGAAAACCTTTCTAAAATGAGACCATTAACATGGACCAAATAGCTGGAGGATGTTACCTAGAAAAAAAGTGTATACATGGGATTCAATTTCTTCCTCCAAATTTTCCTTCCTGCAGTCTAATGGTATCTATTAGCCCATATGACACAATATGCATTTCCAGAAATATGGTCACTATTATGGCAGATGGTGAGTCTTATTGAGTTTGAAGGCTAGATTTCTGGGACATACTTTCACTTAGTGGCCAATGTATTCAAATATATAGGAGAAAGACTAATAGTATCTGCCCTTGAGGGGCCATACTTGGATGTTCTCCAGGCCAACATAAACTCATGTAAATCCTAAGGAATAGAAGTAAGGAGAAAAATAGGGCAAAAAAACCCAATGGCTAAAAAACAAAACCAACAAAATTTAAAAACCCAATGGTTGTGCTTACCATTTTCATCCAGGGAGAAATCATCCTGAGCATAGCGAAATTTTTCAGGACCACAGGCAATAAAAACATCATCATCACCAAAGAAATCGTGAAGACAGGTTACCTGTGGAGAAAACAGAAACGCTGGATTTGTATTTGGTGTTCTTGTGACAATGAACTTCATGCCATGTTGGCAGTGTGGAAAGCTTCACATGAAAGCCATTGTCTCTTTCAACCAGGGAGCTCCTTTTCTTCAAAACACCTATCACACTCATAGTCTGCACTATGATTCACAGTAAGTGAAGATCAAGTGCTATTGTTTTCTATGTTTCATGTATGGCAGTCTTGTTTCCATAGCATCTAAAGTAAGATTAGAACCATATCTAAATGGAATGGCCCCTACCAAAGTAAAGTCAGTTGGTCCTACAAATGTCACTTTTTCTCAGACTTTCAAATACAAACTATTGTTGGCCCAATTCTGGAGCCAGGGATCTAGGCTAAGGCACGTGAGAAATATTTTCTACAACCTGCAGTGGATAAAACCTGGAGCTGATCCAGAAGTTGAAATTCCTCTCTTCATGTACATGAGCTCTAAAGGATACCACTTCTTGACTGCTTTGTACCCACAAAAATTAGACCTTGGCTATAATGAGTCTAGAACCTGGTCTTGGCCCAGAATATCATTGCTCACTGAGAAACTAAGAAGGGAAAACTGCTGACCACTTGAAACTTCATCAGGAGCAATGGGTCCCATAGATTTGAGTCTTTCCTGTAAAGCCATGTTCCCAGTACCTTCCTGTCCTCGAGCACCCTATGCATGGCTGTTTCTTCACAATACAGTCTCCCCAGCTCCCTTTCTGCAGAAATAAATGAGGGTCCCTGGGAAAGTATGCTGCTCCCTGCAGTCTCCCCACTTCTCAGCTTTTCTAATTACAACTGATAATTAGTCCAGCACGCATCAGGGAAACCCCAGGAGAAGCTATAGAGTCAAAACATGCTTATCCAAATCCTTAGCTTGTAAGTGTTCAAAGCCTCTAATTGTTCTAAGCTTCCCATTCAAGCTGCCAGCAATGGCTTTCCAAAGACATAGTGCTCACAAACTAACAACAGCTTGCTGGGTACAGAAAGCAATATGTTACATTTGAAAACTGTTTATATTAATAACATCACCCCCACCCAAGGTCTATTCAGTCCCTGTTCTCCCAGTCAAGATGATTGCAAGCTTTACACAAAGGGAGAAATGCTTAAAGATTATCCCCATTGTTTTAGCCTTCCAATCATCTATGAAATGCTCAGAGAAGGGAGAAACTCTTGGAGGACTGCCCGGGTAGCTCTTATTAAGCATCTTCCCAGTCCTGAGTCCCAACCTCATCAAATAAACTAACACCCTTCTTCAACCCACTTGTCTCTCACCTATTCATTCCACAATCATGTAATGACAATCAGAGTATCTGATTGAATGCTTACTCTGTGACAGGCACTCTGCTTCCAAATCTGTCATCACATTTTACCCTCACAACAAATCCTTAGAGGTTGGTATTATTGTCATCGATATTTTAGAAATGAGAAATCTGAGACCCAGAGCCAATAAATAAATTGCCCAGAAGGAAACCAACAAATCCAAACAAATACAGATCTATCTGACTTCAAAGCCTGTGCTTTAAACTACTTAGCAATACAAAACACATACAGTTTGGACACTGGGGAGACAGACAAGTAAGACTGAGACCATCACTTCATGAAGCTCAAAGTCTGATGTAGTGAGATACATTGAAACAGAGTATTTCAATTTAATTCACTTTATATGCTAGGATGGAAAAATCAGTAGGTGCTGTGGAGTGATTTGATGGCCACATCCAAGCAACTCAGTCTCTAGCTGACACTATTCGTTCAATAGGCACATTATATATGGTCTATATAGCAGATCCAATAATGAAGGATACATGGCTTTGAGCCCCACTACAGACCTCAAGCTAATGTTTTAGACCTTGGTTTAATACAACCTAGAGACTCTAACTTTGATGCACTGGTGTCTCTTCATTGTTTACCCCCTGCTACCTCCTTAACCCTGAAGATTTCTATTGTATCTTCTTGTTCGAGACTGTCCTTGACCCCTGAGTAGCTGCTTTTAGTTTTGGTCATGAGTACGGTAAACTTCAACCTTGGATGTCCCTCTGATAATGGTCACAAGGAATTGTGTACTTTGTTTCATGACCTGCCTATGCCTTCATAGATTTCAGCTAGCTCTCCCCAGTAGATCACAGGTTTCTGAATGTAAAGATCAAGTATATCTCTCCCTCTGTTTCTTCCCATGGTTCATGGTAGAGAGCTTAAGAAATAATGAAAATTTAGCCAAACCCAGTTCTGCTTCTACTGCATGCAAAAAAGACATAAAGAGGAACATTCATAGGATTTGTAAAGATATAAAAGGACAGAGAAGAAGAAACAGGAAGAAGAAATCAATTGTGACAGACAGCGAAGTTTAGCATTCAGAAGCTTTGAAAAAGTAACAAAACCATAAAAATTTATGAATAAGAAAGGAGAAATGACTGAGTTGAGAAATTATTCTTCATATAATAAAATAATTAGTTTTAAATGGATGATTTTTACATGATGTCTCAATGTAGGATAACAAAGCCTTGAAGATTGTTAGGGGGGTGGCTGTTACAATTACCTACCCTCCACCAACCCAAGCCTTGCCACCTCCAGCCAGGCTTTTCAAAAAAGCCTTTGGATAAAACCTCCTTTGGGGAGCTTCTAAGAAAGGAAAAGTTCTTATGCTTCTGACAAACTCACAATGGTTTCAAATATATTCGTGTTATAATGTAGCTGTTTGGCATCAGATTTCTTGTGTGATTCCACCCCATATTTTACTGGTTCACAAACACAGAAAAATTCACATTGCGTATGTGTGTGTGTGTATGTGTGTTTAAAGAGAGAGATAATTTTTTAATATTTATTTTTTAGTTTTTGGTGGACACAACATCTTTATTTTATTTGTATGTGGTGCTGAGGATCAAACCCTAACCCCATGCATGCCAGGGAAGCGTGCTACTGCTTGAGCCACATCTCCAGCCCAACGTACTTGTGTTTTAATCAGCTTTTTTTTTCTGTTGTGACCAAAAGACCTGATAAGAACAATTGGAGGAGGAAAAAATTTATTTTGGGGCTCATAGTTTCAGAGGTCTCAGTCCATAAATGTCCTATTCCGTTCCTCAGGGCCCAGGGAGAGGCAGAATATCACGGTGAAGACTGTGGTGGAGGAAAGTGGTTCAGGGCCTTGCACCAAGAAGCAGAGAGAGCTCTGCTCAACAAGGACAAAATATAAACCCCCAAAGCATGACCCTAGGGACTCAACTCCACCAACTCCACCCTATCTGCCTACAGTTACCACTAAGTTAATCCCTATCAGGGGATGCACTGATTAGGTTAAGGCTCTCATAACCCAATCATTTCACCTCCAAAACTTCTTGCATTATGTCCCCCCTTTTGGGGGACATCTCACATCCAAACCATAACAATGTGGACACCTAGCTTTCCTAAGTACTTAGATACCAAGACACAATAGCCCTCATAATTTTCATAGGTTGGGAAAATAGAATACTCTCCATCTTAAATGAGAAGCCCGAAGCACAAAAGTCAAAATGGCACAAGGATACACAGCTGGCTCATAGCAGACTTGAGACTAGCATTCATTTGTCCAGCTTCAATTCAGGACAAAATAATTCAGGGCTTTCTAAAGCCTTGACTTGGATCTATTGGCTTCATCAAACTTCCAGAGGGATCCATGGGATAAAATTGGCCAAGAACCCCTACATGGAGTCTTTGCTGGTTCTTTGTAAAGTTTTCTCTTTCCCTCAGCTCCTACAGATCCTGTTGGTATTTTTCCCATACCACATTCTGCCTGTGTTACAGCCATTGATGGACATGTATTTTTTCCTTCAGGTACCTAAAGACAAGACTGTCCAGTTCATTTTTGTATTCCCCACAGTAATTGTTTGGTACACAATAGATATATAATAAATGCTTATAGACTTAATGAAAAAAATAAAGCCCTGACTTGAAAGGCTTATATATAGGCCAGGCAGAAGAGTCTCCATTGTCCCATTTGATGCCTGATGTGCATCACAACTACTGAATTGAAAAAAATAATTTTCTTTATTAATCATATTCTTAATCTATGGAAGAGAAAATTTACTGACAATTGAGTATGTAGTGAAGGACAGGAGAAAGATGAATAAAAGAAGGAGGAGGGAAAAAAGGAAGAGAAGAATGGAGTATAAAATATAACTTTAAAATAAAGCTCACACTCATTTAATGCCTTTAAAAAAATTCAATTGAGATAATATGACACAAAGTCCGCCCAGGCTTATATTACAAGGCATGATTTTCAAAATTCGCTTTTTTGAAATAAAATTTCCATCACAAGGCAACAAAAGTAGTAAATATAATAATCATTGCAATACCACTTACATCATCCTCAGAGAGTAAAGGTTTTGCTGACATCAGCTTCAGTATGAGTCATACTTGGGTATTTAAGTCAGAGAAGGGAACATGAAAGCATGACACCTATCTTCACAACTAATCAACTGTGAGCACAAAATCAATAAAATCAACTCACATTAACATTGATCCATTAACTCAATCCTATTCTTTTAAAAAAGTGTCAGATGTTGGGCAAAGGGAGGCCAGCTTGCTTATGCATTAGCATGAGTAATATATTATATGGATGGTCTGGTGTCTTAAATGTCAAAGTACAAATGGAGAAATGGAGATAACAGATCACTTTGTGGGAGCAGTTTGAATCTATTAGCTGAAAAATGGAAAATTGACTCCATGGCTTGATTTAGGCTTGATTAGATTCTCCAGCCACATATTACAGATACTTACACCTGTCTGCTGCTATTAGATTCCTCATTTCACTTATTACCTAATTGTTCAGAAAGAATGTTACTTCAGGAAGTAAGGTCTTAGAAATCTATGTCGATCACTTTCAATATGCAAAATATTTTCACTGAAAATTCCCTTCCACTAGTATTGATACATCAGACAATTATTGGGGCAAAGGAATTATGCGAGAGATACAGAAATGTACAATAAGGGACCCCTGTCTTCAGAGTTGAC